AAACAATCAAGAACAAGTTCCATATCCCTGTAGTTGAGAATCTCTTGGATGAACTACATGGTGCATTCTATTTTTCTAAAATAGACCTAGACTGGGATATTGGTAGATTTTGATTACACCTAAGGGCATCCATAAAACAACCTTCAGGACTCACCATGGGTATTTCGAATTCAAGGTAATGCCATTTGGCTTTATCAATGCTCCTGTTACATTTTAATCAACATCTTAGAAAATTTATTCTAATTTTATTTGATGACATATTGATCTATAGCCCTACTTTAATGGAACATCTTCAACATTTGAGAGTGATGTTGGAAACATTAAAGGAAAATCAACTCTATGCTAAATTATCTAAGTGTTGTTTTGGTCAACCAAAAGTTTAGTACTTAGGACACATTATCTTGGTTGCTAGAAAATCAATCGATCCAACAAAAGTCCTTGCCATGAAACAATGGCATATACTTAAGCGTCTTAAGTCTCTTAGAGGTTTCTTGGGGTTGATAGGTTATTACAGGCGATTTATCAAGGGATATGGGGAAATCAGTAGACCCTTGAGTCAAATGCTAAAGAAATATGTATTTAAATGGTCCCTTGAAGGTTTGGAAGCTTTTGAGAAGCTAAAAGAGGTTATGTGATCTACTCTAGTCTTGGCACTTCCTGATTTTTCCAAAAATTTTTACTTGGAAATGGATGCGAGTTCTCGGGGTATTGGGACATTTTTTTATCTCAGGAGGACATGTCCATCACTTTTCTTAGCAAGGTTTTGAGCCCAAGACAAGTTGATCTTTTTATATACAAGTGTAAATACTTGGCTATTTTATTAACGATTTCGAAATAGAGACATCACGTAGAGTTTGGGCCTTTCATAATTAAAACCGATCATAAAACTTTGATGTACCTCTTGGAGTATACACTTACAACAATAATTTAGAAATGGGGGCTAACTAAATTGCTTATGTTGGATTACACTATAAAGTATAGGAAAGACAAAACAAACATTGTAGAAGATGCACTTTCAAGGTAATTCGAAGACTAGGGCCACTGTAATATGCTAAGGGCTACAACCATCATCCTAGTTGGGTACATGAGATATAAGATAGCTATAAAAATAATTCGCTTATGACTGATTGGATTTGTACCCTAATAGTCAACCCTATTACTGATGCAAAATGGAAGTATACTAAAGGAATTTTGAGGTATTGTAACATTTTTTTTAGGAATTTTAAGGTATTGTAACATAGTTTATGTATGTGAATATGTAATTCTTAGATTGCAAATCTTACAGACATTACATGACACTCCTTAAGGCAGTCACTAGGGCACGCAAGCTACTTATCAAAAGGTAAAGAGATATTTTTACTGGTTTAGGTTAAAAAGCATGGTTGCAACCTATGTTCTACATTACGATGTCTGTCGGCGTACAAAAAGAGAACATATGGCCAAGCCAGGCCTTCTTCAGCCTCTTCTTGTCCCTAATCAAGCTTGGAAGATGATAACTATTGATTTTATTAAGGGTTTGCCAAAGTCTATGAACTGTGACTATATTCTAGTTGTGGTTGAGAAATTCACAAAGTATGCCCACTTCTTAGCCCTATCTTACCTTTATACAACCCTAGATATTGCTAAGCTTTACCTCGGTAATGTGTACAAGCTACATGGTCAACCAACAACTGTTATTTCTGATCATGAAAAAACATTCATCAACAGTTTTTGAAAAGAATTAATAAAGCAGTTAGATACAAGCACCTTATACAGTACTGCCTATCATCCCAGAAACGGATAGCTAGACTGAAAGAGTAAATCAATACCTAGAACAATATCTAAGGGGTTTGTGTTTCTTAAAACTTAAGAAGTGGTTCGATGGCTGCCTCACGCTGAGTGGTGGTACAATACCACTATCACACAACATTGAAGATCACCCCCTTTCAAGCCCTTTATGACTACAAACCCCCAACTATGGCTTGGCAACCAGACTTACAGATACATATTGTAAATGAGCTACTCAGAGAATGAGAAGAGTTATAATTAATTTTCAAACATCAATTACACGAGGCTCAACATACAATGAAACAACAGGCAGATAAACACATAACAGAAAAAACCCTTCAGGTGGGTGATGAAGCTTACCTTAAACTTCAGTCGTATCGTTAAACTTCCTTGCACTCAGAAAGAATCTCAAATTAGCAGCAAGGAACTACGATCCATACAAAGTATCGGCAAAAATAGGTGAATTAGCGTACATGTTTGATTTACTAAAGGACTGTCAAATCCACCCCGTCTTTCGTGTCAGCTTACTCAAAAAGAAAATGGGTGACAAGGTGGTTCCATCTACTGCTCCTCCTACAATCGATGGTGATGGACACTTCCAAATTTCTCATTCGATGATTTTAGATAAATGAAATGTGAAGCATCAAGATAAACATGTTACACAACTATTGGTGCGTTGGACGAATCACGATGGTAGCCATGACTTATAGGAAGACTTTATTACCCTAAAGGGCTTTTTGGTTCGGGGAATGTGAGATTCTCATGGGAATGGAATCCATATTCCCACGTTTGGTTGGCCTGGAATCTCATTCCCGATAATGTTTTATTACCAATAGTGGATTGTTTTGGGTATATTATCGGGAATGTCATTACCCCATTCACTTAGGTATTGTTGGATTACTGGCGTTTTGGACTAAAATGCCCTTAATTTTTTTTTTCAAAAATATATTTCTTCTTTCATTGAATAATAAAAATTCTACGAAGGTTAAATTACAAATTTATCCTTAAATTATTAGATTTACAAAAAAAAGTTTATAATTAAAATTTTATAAGAAGTTCAGGGGTTAAAATAAAATTTTACCCTTTCATTAAACCTTTTTATATTTTCAATTTTGTAAAAAATTTATATAAATTTTATGAATTTAAATTTTTTAAAGAAAATATATAAATATTTTCAACTTGTTAAAAAAACAAATATATAATAAGGATAATTTGGTCAAATATATATTCAAATAATATTTTATTCCTTTAACCAAACACGGTAATCTTACATTCCTGCTAAACCAACCAAACACAAAATACAACATTCCCAGTAATCATATTCCCTGGTAATCTTTTATTCCTACTGGTAATCTTACATTCCATAAACCAAACGCAGCCTAAAGGCTCAATTTCCTACTTTCGATCCTTGGAGACAATGATCCTTTCGAGGGAGGGTACTTTCACAGTTGGAGGAAAAGAAGGAAGAACGAACGAGATGAAATTGGGAATTAAGGAAGGGTTAGGGATTTCACAGAACGAATTGGGGATTTCTACAATTGAAAGTGAAGCATGTGAGAAGCACAATGATACTAAACAAGGAAGCCCAAAGTTTGTATATGCTAAAGGAGGAAACATGCCCAAGAGTGAAGCCCAAACCAAGAGAATGACACCTATTCCATACTGTTGAAGTTGTTGGAACAAGGACAGTCAACTGGCTAATTTTATAGAATTCAATACTATGTAAAGAAATAAAACCATGCACTGCAAGGCCTTCCACATGAATTTGCTGAATGAAAGTTTCCCTTATAAAATTTATTCTCTATTCTCTATAAATTCCTTTCGTCTATATCTTATAATTCTCTAAGTTCATTACACAATAGTCATTAATTGTCCTTTGCAACAAATTCGATAAAAACTCATTTTAAAAGTTCAATGTTCTAATACTTCAATCTCTCTCTACAATCATCGAATAAAAGTAGTTTTGAGGTATGTTATTAGCCTTTCTTGAAAGAAAGTTTTTCACTATTTGAATTTTCAATCAAACACTCTTAATCCATAAAACCGATAGACTTTTTGTGTTAATTTTATGAGTTTTAAAAGATTATTTGGAAAATTTTAAATTGAAGAGTGGTAAAAAACAAAAAAGATGAGAAAAGGTAAGAAAATAACAATATTCAAAGTCAATTAGAAATAGGTGAAATCAATAATAATGCATGTTTGTATAATATAGGGTTGAGTGGTCAGAAGCAGACAACATATAAATATTGTGGGATCGATGAACATTGCAATATTCTTTGGGATGTAAAGGAATGACATATACATATGCACACGGCCCAAATTTCCTCTAAAACAGCTTGACAAAGGCAACTGGTTTCTCTCATCTTCTTTATCATTGTTGACGGGCCCAGCGGGGACAAAAGAAATGAAAAAAATGCTTTATAAGATTCCGTTGCTGAGACTTGAATCCGGGTTTTCGGATGAGAGCCGAATTACCTAACCAACAAGACTGCAACATATAGACCTGTAAACGAACCAAACACACATAAACGGAGGTATGTTCATGTTCGTTCATTTATTAAATAAACGAACATGAACATAGTCGAACAAAATTTATTTTGTTTATGTTCATTCATTAAGGAATATAGCTTGTTCATGTTCGTTCGTGTTCGTTCATTTAAATGAAAAACGAACATAAATGAACGTAAACGAACACAAACGAACGGACATAAACGAACATAAACAAACACAATAAATGAACAACACAAACACAAAAAACAAACTTATTCGAACACAACAAATGAGTGTACAAAAAGTAAACAACAAGAATAACAACTTAAAATTCATTAATATAACCTGCAACTTTAGAGTTAATTTGTTCGAATACGACAAAAACATACATAAATCATAAATAAGCTATATGAACATAATAAAAGTCTTAAAGTTAATTTGTTCAACAAAACAATCTTCTTGAAATCCAAACAACTTCAATAATCTTCGTAACATATTCAACTTGTCCTCTGTTCGAATATAAATGAACATAAATAAACAAACACAAATAAACATATAATCGAACGTTCACGAACGTAAAATTTTGTTCATGTTAGTTCATTTAATAAATAAACAAACATAAACGAACTTCCCTCCGCACGGTTCATGAACGTTCAGTTCATTTACAGGTCTAGCAACAGACCTAGCATTAGTCACACGTAAGTTTGTAATTAAATTATATAACAAGGTTTTAATATAAAAATTTCCGTTGCCGAGATTAGAACCCGGGTCTTTCGGGTGAAAGCCAAATATCCTGACCAACTAGACTACAATGGATTGTTGGCATAAGCTTTCTAAAAACTTTCAATTGTCATTATCAAATAAGTAGGGCCTGTCTACTATGTGCTTTCTGGTTGTCTAATTCAGTTATGGTATTTACTATACAAAAATTGTGGATTCAGTTCCTATAGTTCAATTTGTCATCATTTTTTTTGAATTTATTACATCTTTCGCCACTCCAAATAGTTATATATTTCTGTTAAAATGTTGGAGTAGATTTTTATCTTAAAAATACTTGTTTCAACACAAACAAATCTTATTTTAACCAAAATTGTTAATTATTTAGATTAATCAGCCCATGACTATTTATATATAAAATCATGGCAAATAAAGTAAATGAACCAAATTCCGAATTAGAGCATAGAAAAGTGACTGAAACCAGGGTTATGATATTTTTCCAAGTGTCATTTTATAAGTTTCAGCTTAACACATTTAGTAGATGGCTTTTTGTCGAAACTTTACATTCTTAGATCATCAATGGTGCATGATGAGGGGACTGATGGTGCAGCTGAAATTACAGGGCTTCGTTTGTTATATGAATATGGTCCACTAAAACAGGCCTATCCAAGGTGTTATTCAGTCAACGTACAACGTGCTGCAGTGGAAGCAACTGTTGCAGAAGCAACCTACTTGATTTCAGTGATGTTCATCATGTATCAAGGCCATTATTTTATGCTTGGCAGTCGACGGTCAACACATAAAAGACAACAATTAATAATAAAATATTTTTTTTATATATTACAAATTGAATCTATTACTAAAATTCTGGTCAACTTCGGATTTTATATTAAGAGTTAGAAAGAATTGAGAAGATTTCAGCAAACATGACAATGTATGAACCTAGATAGTGTTGTTCTCTACCTTTTCTATAACAAAGGAGGAAGGACGTTGTTCCATCTGGTGGATCTTCGGGTTCTGGATTGGGGCAAGATGCTGAGTCCGACTACCTCCTTGGGTGCTTGACCCGATTCCAAAAACCCCAGCAACTTCGACACTAGAGCTGCACTCTCTTTCACATGTCCCATGTCCCGCGACTTTGACCATATAAGTTGCGACAGTTGTACGCTCCTTTGCTTGGTGTTTAACCCAATTCCCCACTGCTTGTACACTTCCTCTTTCTGCTTCTTCGACAACTTCTGTATTTGCTTGCACAACATTTTCCTCTCACGTATCAAATCCTTTGCACTGCCAACCACAAAAGTAATAATTCGTTTCAATTCAATCGGGTCTAAAGCTTCCTTATTTCTAGCCTGCATATACCTGTGGCTCAGACTTGCCCAAGGCTTACTTCTGGTTTTAAAATTTAGATGTCTTAAGGTTCAGATGATTTTAGGTTTAAATCATTTCAATCTGAATTTGAGGCTCAATTTAGATTGGATTATTATTTTGGGTTGTCATTTCAGATTTGACCCATTTTTCATTTTGGTTTGTGGCTCCATTTTAAATATGGTCATTATAGATATTGATCGGTTCGGATCATGTCTTCAACTTGTTTACAGTTTAGGTTTGAAGATTGGTTTTTCAGGTCGGGTCATTATGATTGCAAGTGGTTTTGAGTTTTGGTCATTTCAGATAATTTGTTTGGGCCATTTTTTAATAAATCAGTTTGGATTTGGGTTGGGGATATTCAAACGTTTTATGATTAAATCGGGTATAAGGTTCGAATTGGTGATATATATATATTTTTGCTGAGGAATTAGAATTAACAAGTACGGTTCAACTAAAGAAATCTTAAATTCACCTTGAAGCTGTTGTGTCAAATGTAGTATCTTTGAAACCTTTGCTTCCCAATGGCATGGAGTTCTTTAGAAAAGACAATCTTCTGAACTCTACCTCCATATAAATAGAATCAGAAGGGTCACCTTTGAAAAGCATGATGAAATAGGTTCTATGGATTAATGGTACATTGCATGCATCCCAAAGTTCAATTATCTTTTTCTGCAAATTCTCGAATTCAGCGGGCCAACTATCATGCAGTTTCACGGCATTCTCGGTTTCAGGTGCCTAGCATCCATAATCATTCGAACGGAAAATGTCAGTAGCCAATAATCACCAGCTAGAGATATGTGAAAAATGTATCATACTAGGTCTTATTTTACTTTTTGGGATCATGAAGAGTTGCTTGAGTACCAAGAATGCTGTATTATCATTCATGCACATGTATTCATTTTTAAAGAACATAACTTATGGGAACATAACTCATATCAGCAGAAGTTGATATAATGTAAGCAATGAAATTCTAACAGGTAATATAAAGGATGCATTTCATGTGAGAAATAAGAAAAATGAAGAAAGGAATGAGGTTCATCACCGGATCCTCATCATTTTGTTTTTCGGGTAGCCGTTTTGTCACACTGCTACATTCAGAAAAATCAGTGGACACGGAAGTTCTTCTCATAGAACTATTACCATATAACTTCCATGGCCGAGGAGCAAAACTGGCTTCACTACAATTGTCTTCCCCATCTATATCTTTCACGCTTTGTGCTTCCCCACAGCCGCTGCTAAATGAATTTTGAGAATGACCTCTGGACATCTTTCCATTTCTGTTGTCGCCTTTCAGTCCAGAAAGCTTACAGGAGAGGGCTTTTTCCCTTTGAAACAAGTCCTTTTCAACTGATGTGGAAGGATGCGTGCTTTCATTATGTTGTGGGTTCTTAAAGTCAGGTGAAGATGGCACGGTTGTAATAATCCCCCTGCAGCTTTTGCATCTGCTCAAGGTAGGGCTACCAGAAATAGTACTTCCATCTAATGCAGAAGGCGAATCGCCCAAAGTGACTAGAAATTTGATGGTCTTGTGCAACTCCTGTATTTTTTGTTTCAGTGCCTCGCAAGTTTCATCTTTATTAACATGACATGATTGCAAATCTTCCTTTTGAGGGGATGATACTACATTTTCTTTCATGGTTATAGTCATGTCTAACTTTCCTTGATTTTCATCAGGATTACAGTAGAATCCATCACCTTCCTGCTTCTCAATACTTGCCTCTGTCCCAGTTAATTTTACTTGATTTTCATCAGGATTACAGTAGAAGCCATCGCCTTCCTGCTTCTCAATACGTGACTCTGTCCCAGTTAATTTTCCTTCTATATCCTCAGCAGCAGTGAGGGATACTTTTTCTTCCTCATCCGCAGGAATAACTGATAAATTATCTGCTTCTATTTCCTTGATGACGGATTCCGTCATGGCTGGTTTCCCTTCCTGTTCCTCGGGACCAATTGGTAATTCATCAGTGTTGACAGTTAATTTTCCTTCATTGATCTCAGGAATCAAAGAGCAAACATCAGCTTTTTCATTCAGCTTAATGTTCGACTCTTCAAATTCAATGCATCGAACTTCCTTGCAGTTATCTTCAAATTCTTCATCCATTTTTAGAGCAACCTCCTTGTAGTCGTTGCCTGCTTCAGGTTCAGCCAACATTAGAGTGTTTCTATGGAGATGACGTTCCTCTTCATAGATCTCTAGAGGTAGAGGTTCCAGATATTGGGTGTTGGTCATAGGCACTCTTGGTGCAACAGTATCCATATGCTTGCAGTAATCAACCGTACAGGGAGCATTGATCACTTCTGATGAATTTGATGATGAATAGTTGGCACTCGTTAACATTTGAACTTCTCTAACTGAGAGTAGCAAATTCTCAACTCGCGATTGAGCAAGATCACGTTGCCGAGTCAATTCTTCTATCTCTTTGGCCATCTGTAGATTCTCCAAAGAAAAAAAAGCAAGATAAACATGAGTAAATCGCTTAACTGAGTGCATGCTGCAACTTGCAACTTGCAACTTGTTATCTTATTTTCCCAAGTTCTTTTTTTTTCTCTTTTGGATAATAGAAGTTGAACTTACAAATTCCCAAAACCACGTGCTGAATCCAAATAACAACAAACCTAGTGATAACTACAAAAGGCCCTGGTTTATACTGATATTTACTTTTAAATTTTCTTAGATGCGAGATATCATGCTTAAATGAATGGAAAATGGCTTTCTGAAGTCATGTAATCACCTGCTCAATGAGTAGCTCTTTCTCTCTCATCATACTAGCCGTATCAAGTTTGTTTGGTGTTGAGCCGACGCTCTTCATTTCGTTCTCCAGTCTAGCCAATTCTCTTTTCAATTGCTTTACCAATGCCTTATCTGACATAACTAAATTGACTTGTGCATTGGTTGTTACCTTTTTAGCACAGCTTGCAAATAAGAGAGTGTTTCTCGATTGTTCAACATGACTACGGTCAGGACTCATAGTGCAAATGATGGCTGTTCTGGCATTGCCTCCTAAGGCATTCTGAAGTATGCGCGTTAGCTTAGAATCCCTATAAGGTACATGGCTATTTCTTCCTTTGCTGCAAAATATATTGCCATGTAAATTGGCCATAAACGATATATGCTATGTTTATGAGTTATGGATATAGTCTCTATTATATTTGTGAAAAAGCAGTTATTCAACCTTAGTTTGCGAATCACAGTTCCAAGAGTTAATAAACTTCGATTTATGTGGCAGCCTTCTTTCAGTCTTGCACCAGCAGATAAGGTCTGAGAGGCACGCTCGCTTCCAGCTAAATCAATAAAATTCTGTATAAGAAAAACCAAGTTAGACTTTCCTTGTCGTCCAACTTCACTTACGATTTTAAATTTGAATAATGTTCTATCTCATTTCATCGATTCCCATCTGAAAAAAAGACAAGTACTTTTTCTTTTAAGAAAAGTTAGCAATTTTATACCACTGAAGCTGCAAGAACGCTTGAATTTCCGGCTTCAGCATAATCACGAGCAAAACTTTCAATTGTCTGCAAATTACATCATTGAACGCAGTTATAAGACTAGCACAGTATATATAAAGAAACTTTACTTAAGTAGGTATGCTTACCAGCCGCAAAATCTGATGTGATCTCGAGCTAGTTTCATTCAAAGCAGTCTCTCCTATCTGCCTTTGAGCTGCGCAAAAATATGCCAAAATGCATATAAAGTGTCATCCAGTGAAACAAAGAAAATGAGATAGACCAATGGTGTTTTATAAACACGTCACCTTCACAGATTGAAAGGAGCTCCTGAAGATGTTCCTTGTCTCTTAGAGTCTCCTCAGTTAGTCTCTCCACAACGGTTCCCCTCTGTTGAAGTGAAAACATCAAAACAGCGCTATAAAAAGTTTAATGCTCATGCAAAATGACGACCAGAAAGATAAACAAGGGGGAAATTTTGACCTCTGGATCATCTAGGAGTCTGAGTGGGGTACTATCCGAGCTAAGAAGGTCTCTCACAGCTTCATTATATATCTCCATGGCAGAGAATTTCACGAAAAATTCTCTTTCTTGATGCTAAGATATTGATCAGAGCAGAATGTCATTTCAATTCCACATAAGAGAGGTAATCCAAAATTTATCGTTACCCTTTCTATGTAGTCATATATATCCGCTACTGCATAATCAGTGACCCCCCTCATCGTATATGTCTTTCCACTGCTTGTTTGCCCATAAGCAAATATGCTCGCTGAATAAAATAAAAAATCAGTAAAAACATTTGCATTATTATAATGGTTAGAGGTACCCGGAAATATGGGAAAAGGAAGAAGATTACTTACAATTAATACCATTTAGTACTGAAACTGCTATGTCTTTAGCTGCTTCCTCGTACACTTGACTTGTAGGGCTGTCACAGTCAAATACTCTGTCTATTCACAATTGAAAAAGAGAGAATTACAATGATTAGAAGTCAATCTCAATTCCCAAAAAAGAAGAAGAATAATTGTTTGTGTCACAATCTAGTCCGACTTTAATCTTGTCATGAAAGCATAATCTGAAATTATCATTTTAAGTTTTTGAACCTCAAATACATCTCCACGAATTTTGACCCAACGTCCTCACACACATGAATCCACCCTACAATCTACATGACGGACACCAATTGTTTAACATTGACAAACTTACGAATACTCAAAATAAAGCAATTCCTAATTATGCCTTCACAACACGATGCAACGGGTCAGGCCTGGTGGTAACGTTTTAATATAAACACAATCAATCTTATTCACTATGTTACACAAGAGATGAAGAGGGAAATGCTTACCAAATGAGTAGGCAACAGGGAACATGGAACGTTCAGGCAAGCTGTTTTTGAAAACAATGGTGTCATTGTTAATGCATTCCCAATCAGATATACTGTTCCGTGCTCTCTCTTTATCGTTCAATGGCCTTAATCTAACGGAAACAAAAAATTTCTCTCCTTGTTCTTGAATTTCCGCTTCCTCATTCATTGTTCCCGTTTCTCTCTTACCCAACCCTTATATTTTTTATCTTTCTTTTTCACAAAGAAATCAACAAAGTTTGCTTGGTTTCAAGAGGAAAGCATTCCTACTAGCTGGACGTCCCTAAAATTTCCTTTAATTAGAACCAGAGATCATGTCGTTCCCTCCGCTTCGAAGCCTTTTCTCTGCAGTTCCATCTCTCGGGACAAATTTCAGTATGTCCCCATTGATCCTTCCAAATCAACACGTAGAAATTAACATCTATGTTAACGGTGAATGAGAAGCAATTAAAAAAAAGAACAAAAAAAAGGGAATTAATGCAATTTAAACAAACCTCTAACCTTGGAGCTCCTATTCCAGCATAAGAAATTGAAGGGGGAAATTACAACGAAAACGCCTCAGCTCTCAATTCAAATCAATCAACAGTTTTCACTAAAAAAGAGGATGCAAAATGGGAAGAAGGAATGAGAGTTTGCTAAACTTTAAATTCTCTTTGAAACAGAAGAACACAATTGTGGTTATCAAATGTGATAAAAAAAACGTTCTGAAAACAGCTAAAAATGGATGAATCAAATTCTGCGAAATCTGAGAAGAAGAAAAAAAACAGAGAAAGAAACAAATTGTTAACTCAACTAAAAAAATAAAACCTTCTGTCTCTCTCTTTGGAGCAACCGTGTGTTTTGGGGGAAGAGAAACGGAGTAGAAGAAGAAATCGACAATGGCAGTGGCAATGGCAAGGCCAAAGCCAAGGCCAACGCGAAATTGCAACGGCCGTTGTTCTTTCTTCCCCTTCGTTTCTCTTTCTGACTGGGAACGGCACCCACCTTTCAAATTTAACCGCTAATTCTAACTATAATAGAAACATAGACAATTATTGTTTTGACCTTCATAGCACCTCTTATTAGCACTGTCTCCGTTAGAGATGGGCATAAGACTCGAACCGATATGATCGGGTGGGTTTTTTTTAAAAAACAATTCGGGATCGGGTCGGTTCGATTTTTTTAATGGTGATATTCGAGTAATTTCAAATTCGGATTTAGAGTTAAAAATACTCGACTCGACCCGACCCGGCCCGGGAAAAAAATATAATTTCACCTTATATATTTAAAAATAATTACAATAATACCCCTCTATATATTATTTTTTTAATTAATTCACAGTTTTTATTGAATAAAAATAATATTTTTATTATTATTTCGGGTCGGGTCGGGTGGATTCAGATTTTATTTCAAAAAGTCGGGTCAGGTTCGGATCGGGTGGAGAGTATATATTATGATGGTCGAGTCAGATATTAGGTGAAGGAGTCATTGTTCTCGAATTGAGTCGAATGACAAAAAATCCGATCCCACCCGACCCATGCCCATCCTAGACTCTCCATCCTCCCATCAGAGATTTTTGTTTAATTTCTTTAATGCATATATTTGGGGTCCAGTTATATATTCAGAGTAAAATTTTGAATTTAGTCCCTCTATTTTTATATGACATTAAAAAAACTCTCATCGTTTGTCATTTCTTTTAATTACACTCTAAAAGTCTTTTTCATCCACATCTTGAGGGAAATGAAATCCAATATTTATTACTTATCCAAAAAAAAAATCCAATATTTATTACTTCTGAACTCTTATTTATCGGTTACATGCTAATCAATATATGTTCAATAATATTTGAAAATAAATAAAATGTTTGTTATCAGTAAAAATAAAATTAAAAGAATATTCGACTACGATTTCTAATTTTCTTATTTATAATTTCGTACTTCTTTTAGTTTGATTTTTATTTTAATTATATTTTCATATTTCATAATCATTCAAATAATATTATTTCATATAAATAATAATGCAAAATAAACTCACACATTTTTTTTAAAAAAAGAGCATAGAGTAAGATTAATAAAAGACATAATTGGAAAAAGAATTCTCATTATTTATTTATTTTTTCAATTGCACACTTAACGTTGTCATACTATATCAACAAAAACAATGATTGTCATATCATATCATATCATTTAAAAAACATATTCGGAAAAAAATAATAAAAATTAAGAGTTTAAGTTGTCAAAGAAAAAATATCAAAAGTATGACATCCTCTACTTATAAAACCGATAAGATATCATAATAAGTTATCGAAATTAGATTATGTCAACATAAACATATAACCTAAACATTAAATATTATGTTCTTTTGTGACTCATTCTTAAATTAGGTCTCATAAAAACAATCAAAACTAAATTATATCAAATTAAACGTAACAAATACATAACCAAACAATTTATTAATGCATTCATTGATTATACGTTATCATATTTTATATCAAGTTATAGCCATAATACGAATTCCTTATTACAAATTGAATACCTAATCTATCTTAAACTTTCATATAACACCTCCTATTCAATCAATACGAATGATCAGACAAAAGATATTGTACACAGTTGTTAAATAAAAATATAACTAATTTAAGTAAATATAAATTTTAAAATACATGTCACATCAATAATAAATATTAAGAAAATACGAACCAAAATTAAAATATTAAAGAATAAAATATTAGTGTAATCATTTTCACCGGAAAATAATCATTTTAACAAAATTAAAATATTAAAGAATAAATTAGTTTTAGAAAAATATGAACCAAAATAAGAATTTAAGCATAGTTAAGAACAAATCTTAACATTGTGTCTGCAGTTTTTGTAGATAATTAAGAGAAACCCTCTTTGAACAATTTATTAATATAGGTTACCAAAATGTTATTTTTATACATTAAAGTAACTTTTAAAATCTTTTTGAAAGTGTTAAATGAGTACCTGCGGCTTATGTACTTTTCTAAAAAACAAATTTGACTTTTAAAAATTTTCATGTGAACTTCAAACTTAAAAAAAAAACTTAATATAATTTTTTGACCAATAATTTATGTCATTGACCATTACGATATTGAGTGATTCACAGTGGCTGGTGACGTGATTGATAAAGTGACAAATGGGCTAAATTATTTTTTAAGTTCGAGGGCCAAATTTATTTTTTAAAAAGTTCAATGGCTTATTTGATTTAAAAATATTTTAAATTTAAAATATAAAGATATTAAGTTAAATATTAAATACCATTAATTATTAGTATTATTTATTAAATAAAAATATCAAAATAAAAATATTAAAATTAATTAATATTTACTATAAAATTAAGAAAAATTAAGCATGAGTAAAAAGTTAAAAAATATCAAATATACGAGAATAAATAATACATCATTTAAAAATAAGAATGAAATCTTCACACTAGTATCGATAAAATAAGTTCTCAATAATTATGTATATTACATTACAAATAATTCTCATCCAATCAAATTTAAATTATTTTTAAATTATTTTAATCACAAGTTTATTAATTCATAAATATCTTTTTTAATATTATAAAAAACTAATACCAAAATTTTCTTTAGATATATCAAAATTTTAAACCAATTCTAAAATATATACGCTCTATCATACTTCCTAACATTATTTTGTGTTCTAAAATAATGACACTAATACCAACAATAATGAAAACAAAATGCTTAAGTGAAAAAAATCAAGTTTTAAGAAGGGCTGAAAATAAAAATCAAAGGACTAAAAGATTTAACATATATATATATATATATATTTTTGGATAATTTTAATTTTATTACCTAATGCAGTTTTATGCTACAACAAAAATCCCATTAATGGGATAAGGACAATCTACTTACAATGGAGATTGGTGATCAACATCCTAACGATTACAAAGATTGGTGGTCAAGTTGGAGATTCAGGATGGCCTTCATAAAGCGATTGTCAAAGAGCGTTCACTGAACAGGTGGTCCTTAATCTCCGTAATTTCATTACAGATTATACATGTGTCATCGGTAATTATTCTCATTCTAAGAAGCTTCTCCTTAATTGGAAGACTATTCAGAAGTGTCGTCTATATAATCATGATGTGTTTATGAATGTTAAGAGAAAATTATATCAATTTATGCCATGAGACTTTTTCTCCTATTACCCGTAGTTCTTTTCAAATATATTTTCTTTTAGTTGCTCCTGTTGATAAAAGTTTGTTATCTAGAGTTGTTAGCTAGATTTGTTGGTTGACTATAGCAGCTTGTACTTCTTTTATAAAATACATGTACTATGACAGTAAAAAGTACTCTTTGAGCTATATTTCTCTACTTTTCTACATGGTATCGTTCACCGAAGGTTCTGGAGAGCTGTAGGGTTTGCTCTTTTCCTCGAAGATGCATAGTTCGTTGGGCCAACACAGTGCTGATTATGGTGATCTTCCAGTGGAATTCTCTTCAAGAAGTGTTAAAGCATCCACTAACAAGAAGGTGAATTTTGTTTTGATGAAACGCATTTCTTCCTATAGAAGCAACAAGTGTTTCTCACTGTACGGAGTTACCGCCTCGAACGTCTTCTCACCGGAAAGATGAAACCGTAACCGGAAACGATTGAAGATAGCAATGGTACTACAAAAATGAATGGAGAGTACGAAGAATTTGTGGCGCAAGATAAGACTCTTGCTTATTGGTTGCTGTAACGATAAGTTCTCATCTTCTTTCTCAATTCGTTGGAGTAGAGATTACTATCGTGGTGTGGAGTATGGTTTTGTAATTCTTTGCAAACAAATTTACGACAGCTATAATAAGTTTGCACTAAAAGTTACAATCCCAGATTTGAGTGTGTAATATCTGCTTATTGTCTTTGTGGTTGCCACCAAAAGGTGGATCCTCTAATATAAGAAAATAAGAAGGTATTACCCATTCTTTGAGGTTTTAGAGAACTATTCACGATAGTGAAATAGTGGGAGCTATCCGTAATAGAAGCTATGGCAACGAAATTTGATATTAAAAAATTCAATGGGACAAATTTCTCATTGTGGAAATTGAAGATGAAGGCCATCCTGAGAAAAGACGGGTGTCTAGCGGCTATCAATGAAAGGCCGGTGGATTTCACAGATGACAGCAAATGGAACGAGATGGACGGGAATGCTATGGTAAACTTTCATCTAGCATTAGCAGATAAAGTATTGTCAAGCATCGAGGAGAAAAAGACAGCTAAGGAGATATGGGATCATCTCACCAAATTGTACAAGGCCAAATCGTTGCACAATAAAATTTTCCTTAAGAGGAAATTGTACACTCTCCGGATGTCAGAATCTACTTCAGTGACGGAGCACTTAAATACACTGAACACTTTATTTTCTCAGCTTACATCCTTAAGCTGTAAAATAGAAGAACAAGAACGTGTTGAACTTCTACTTCAAAGTCTACCGGATTCGTATGATCAACTCATCATCAACTTGACAAATAGTAATGTCACGAATCTAGTCTTCGATGACGTTGCAGCTGCTGTTCTACAAGAAGAAAATCGGCGCAAGAACAAGGAAGACAGACAAATAAATCTGCAACAAGCAGAAGCGTTGACAACGATGACAACGATGAGAGAGAGATTAACATAACGTGGCCAAAACAGTAGTCACAAACATGGTAGATCGAAGTCGAGAAGCAAGAAGAATTTAAAGTGTTACAACTGTGGAAAGAAGGGTCACTTGAAGAAGGATTGTTGGAGTCTAAATAAAAACTCCAATCCACAAGGCAATACCGCAAACACTTCAGATGATAGAGATGCTCTATGCTGTGAAGCGT